GAGAGAGAGAGAGAGAGAGAGAGAGAGAGAGAGAGAGAGAGAGAGAGAGAGAGAGAGAGAGAGAAGAGAGAGAGAGAGAGAGAGAGGAGAGAGAGAGAAGAGAGAGAGAGAGAGAGAGAGAAGAGAGAGAGAGAGAGGAGAGAGAGAGAGAGAGAGAGAGGAGAGAGGAGAGAGAGAGAAGAGAGAGAGAGAGAGAGAGAGAGAGAGAGAGAGAGAGAGAGAGAGAGAGAGAGAGAGATAAGAGACAGACAAAGAGAAAGAGAAAAGAGAGAGAGAAAAGAGAAGAGACTGACAGACAGAGAGACAGACATAGAGAGAGAGAGAGAGAAAGAAAGAAAGAGAGAAGAGACAGACATAGAGAGAGAGAAAAGAGAGAGAGAGTATAACACCACGCATACGAGATACCTTTTCATACCATTTCATTAGGCTTAAGTGCTTCAAGTCCCAGGAATTTCTTTGCTTCGGGTGTTCGTCTCCTTTGTCTCCTCTTGGGTGTTCCTGCTGCCAAATGGACTTCGAGGGATGCATTGTCTAAGGATGTCATGGGGTATATGCCCGTTTCCAGGAGGAGATGGGAGCAGGTGGGAGGAGGAGGAGGAGGAGGAGGAGGAGGAGGAGGAGAGGAGGAGGAGATGGAGCAGGTGGAAGGAGGAGGAGGAGGAGGAGGTGGAGAGGTGGAGGAGGAGAGGGAGAGGGGAGGGGAGAGGATGAGGAAGAGAGAAGGAGAGGAGAAGGGGGGGAAGGAGGAGGAGAGGAAGTGAGAGGAAAGGGAGAGGGGAGGAGGGGGAGGTGGAGGAGAGGGGAGGGGAGAGGGAGAGGGAGGGGGAGGTGGAGGAAGTGAAGGAGGAAAGAGAGAAGGGAGGGGGAGGGGGAGAGGAGGAGGAGGAGGAGAGGAGAGGAGAGGGAGAGGAAGGGGGGGAACGAAAAGGAAGTGAAGGAGGAAAAGGAGAGGGGAAGGGGAGAGGAGGAGGAGGAGGAGAAGTAGGAGGGCGGGGAAGGAGAGGGGAGAGTAGAAAGGAGTGAAGGGAAAAAGGAGGGGTGAGAGGAAGAGAAGGAAGAGGAGGTGAAGGGGGAAAGAGAGAAGGGAAGGGGTTGAGGAAGAGGAAGTGAAGGTGGAACGAGAGAATATGAAAAGAGAAAGGAGAAGGGAAGGACCTGTAAAGGAGAAGGAGATGAAGGAGGATTGGGGGAGGGGAGGAGAAAGAAAAGGGGAAAGTGAATGGGGAAAAGGGAGGAAAGACGTGAAGGAGAAAGAGAGAGGAGGTAAAGCTGGAAAGGGAGGAGGAGGAGGAGACGAAGAAAGAACGAGAGAGAAAAGGAGAAGAGGGATATTTTTCCAGGAAGAAGGAGGAGGGCTGGGAGGAGAAAGAGATAAAAATGGACACGGAGGGCGAAGAGGGGAAAGGCGGAAGAGCAAAGAGAAAGAAGAAAGAAAGGAAAAAGGAAAGAGGGAGAGAGAGTAAAGACTTAAAAATGGACTTCACATCGCCTAAGGATGTCAAGGAGTATGGGCCTGTTTCTAAGAAGAGAGAGGAGGCGAAGGAGGCGAAGGGAGAATGGAGAGGAAAGAAGAGGGAGAGAGGTAAGAGGATAAGGAGAAGATAAAGGAAGAAAAAAAAAGGGAGAAAGATCATCTTAAACCGGGCTTAGATGGGCATACTGTTTAGGAATGTTATAGGTATATATATGTCCGCTTCGAAAAGGATTGAAGAGGGAAATAGGAGGAATAAGAGGTCAAAGGGACACGAATGAGAAGATAAAAGGGGAGTGAAGGGGGAAGGAGAAAAAGGATAAGGAGGAGAAGTAATAAGAAGGAAGTGTAGAGGAGAAATGAAAGTAGGAAGAGAGTAAAAGGGGAAGAGCTGCAGAGGGGAGAGAAGAGGGAAAGGGGGAGAGGAGAGAGGGAAAAGGGGTAAAGAAAGGAAAAAAAGAAACAGCAACTGGGGGATATCGAAAAAAAAAAAGAGAAAGACGAAGATAAGGAGCAGAAAAAAAACAGAAGATTGAATAAAAACAGAAAATAAAAAAGGAAGACAAAAGAAAAGAAAAAAGAAAAAGATAAGAAAAGAAAAAAATACATAAAAAACGAAGGAAAAAATCAAAAGATACCAACGATCACCAAACAGAAAACTTAAACAAAAAAATAAAAAAAGAGAGACGAAAACCCCCCCAAAATAAGTAAAAAAGAATGATAATGAAATAAAAGCAAGGGAAGAAGTCACAGCAAGAAAAAGTGTGAAAGTCGAAGTGAGAGTAAGAAGACGAGGCAAGAAAAGAATACGACCTTGTGGAGAAGCCATTTTGTGATGTTGTGTTAAGATAATGTGACTTTTCTACTCTGTCATGCCTGCAAGGAAGCCTTGGGGTATACAGTAGAGAAAAGCAATACATAGAGAATACACGCATTCTTACATACGCTAATGCATGCGTGGAGATAGGTGTATTATTTATACTTTTTTTGCTACAGTGAAAATGGGGAGTGTGTGTGTGATACATGTACTCCATGTACAAACAAAGGGATATCCAGATACGTACGTGCCGAAATGTAGACATGTAGGTGAATACAGTGCAAAATATATAATATATAATATAATATATATATATAATATATTATATATAATA